GGAAGGAGTCAGTATCCTTGTGGGGGTTGTCGTGGATACCAGGGAGGAGCGGGTATCTGTGTCTGGCACGATGATCTGTTAGAAATTCCAGGGAGAGTCCATTATCTCGTCACACATCTGCATGCATCTGATTCTGGGCTCCCTCCAACCTAACATCCCGGCCTTTTAGTGATAGGGGATGCTGACTCGTTCTGACTACTTCCAGCTGACCAGGGACGATGGGGGGAGCGGGGCGTTAAAGGCCAGGGTCAGGCAGAGGCAGGTCAGAGGGTAGCTGAGTGTAGGGATGGAGCAGGAGCTGATGCACAGTCACCCGTGACATCTCCTCGATCTGGGAGTGGATGAACTTGAGGAGGCAGGTGGCTAGGAGAAAAAAGACACAGATGAGAATCAGGGGCCGTATCATGGGTAGGACCCAGGTAGCTAAGGGGCTTTGGAACCAGCCGAAAGGAGAGTTGTCCTGGAATTGTCTTGCATGTAGTTCTTCACTCAGTTTAGTCAGGGTTTGCATGTTTTGCTCCACTATTCCGGACTCGTTGATGTAGTAGCAGCATTCTTCCTGAAGGAATATGCAGGTTCCTCCTTTTTCTGCAGTCAGAAGATCTAAGGCGCGCTGGTTCTGTAGGGCTACCTGGGCTATTGATGTTACTTGTCGCTGTAGGGAAGCTAAAAAAGGCGGTAGTAGACTCCAGGGCTAACTGGAACTTGTTATTGAAGTCCTGAGCAGAGACCAGACTGTTCCTGAGGGCCCCCTGGTGAGGCCTATCGAGGTAGTGATACTCACCCCTAACATGACAGGGAGGAAGGCGGCCTGGTGGGTCCGGGGGTGGGGGGGTGGGGGGGGATGGAGGGAGCAACCAGGTGAGCTCCGACTCTTTATACAAGGTTAGTTGGGGAACTACTGTGACCACGAAGCAAGGCCTGGGGTCAGAGGAGTTCATGCAGTTGCTTAAGGTGCCGTAACACCAAAAGAAGGTACCTGGGCTGGCCTTGGTGAGACTGGCTGCGGTGTGGTTTTGGGTGCAGTTCTAAGTGACTCGTCCCCCAGTTACCAGATTACTGGTCTGGTAGTACATCCGTGGGGGCAGGGTGGGCTCTGGAGTTTCGGGAGGCATCATGGACCTTGAACCTCCACACATAAGCAGGTGGGGGTTGGTGTAGGTTTCTCAGGGCTGGGAGGAGAAGGAGGAGCGGGAGGGCGACTAAGGCGGACCTTAGTGGGGCCCAACACCTCACATTTATAGAAGTCATGCTGCTCCGGGGTCCTCTTGAGTCTGGAGAAGTGGTGCCACGACGGGTCACCAAGCAGCTTGGCCGCTGTGGGGGCTGTGAGGATTACAGTGTGGGGTCCCGTCCACCTAGGCTCCAAGGCTTTTGGATGTAGGTTCTTAAGGAGGACCGAGTCACCAGGGTGAAGGGCTGGTACTCGGAAGTCCTGGTCGGTCGGCTCTGGCTTGGGCAGAAACCTGTCCGCGTGTTCTCGGAGCAGCTGCCTGGGTAAGGACAGATATGGGAGATACGTACCCAGGGGAGGAGGATCAGTAGGGAGACGGTGGTTGAGCAAGAAGGGTCTCCCATATAGGAGTTCAAAAAGGGCTTAAGAAGGTGGGGCTCCTTGGTGTAGCCCAGATTCTGGTTGGGGCCATGGCAGGAGGTTCAGCTAGGAGCTGTGAATTTCTAGAGAGAGTTTAGTTAGATGGTCCAATACGTTGGAATTGAGTGGCTATGATGAGGGTTCGAGCCAGTGACAGACAAATCCAGCAGGATGTAGAGGAGGAGGGATTGATGTTAGAGAGTAGATAGAAAGTTGTGTTGATGAGGGTGGGCATAGGAGTAGGTCCAGGGTTTGTAAATAGAGAGTGACACTAGAGGATTTCCCATCTCAGATGGTAGAAGGAATTTGTTTTCTTGAGTCGTTGGGAATAATTTAGTCATCTTTACTCATTCACTCCCTTGCTCCCACACTCCTGTATTTCATTTTATTTTATTTTTTAATATATTTTATTGATTTTTTACAGAGAGGAAGGGAGAGGGATAGAGAGTTAGAAACATCGATGAGAGAGAAACATCGATCAGCTGCCTCCTGCACACCCCCTACTGGGGATGTGCCCACAACCAAGGTACATGCCCTTCCTTGACTGGAATCGAACCTGGGACCCTTCAGTCCGCAGTCTGACGCTCTATCCACTGAGCCAAACCGGTTAGGGCCACTCCTGTATTTTAATGAAAGGTCTCTGGGGTACCTGGGGCAAGGGAGTTGTGAGATAAAAGCACTAATTCAACTCTGGCCGGTTTTTCTCAGTGGTTAGAGTGATAGCACACTGACAGAAGGATCATAGGTTCGATTTCTGGTCAAGGGCATGTACGGGAGGTAACCAATCTATGTGTGTGCCTCTCATGTCGATGTTTCTCTCTTTCTTCCCTTCCTCCCTACCCACCACTCTCTCTAAAAGTCAATGGAAAAAATATCCTCAGGTGAGGATTAAAAAAAAAAAGTATTAATTCAGAAATCAAGCAGACCTGGGCTTTTGTTCTGGGGCCTGACACTTGTACCTGAACCTTAGCCAAATTACTTTAAGCCTAAGTTTGTAATAATAGAGTTATTAATAGCTACTAACTATATAGTCCTTTTTTAAAAATATATTTTTATTGATTTAGGGAGGAAGGGAGAGGGAGAGAGAGATAGAAACATCAATGATGAGAGAGAATCATTGATTGGTTGCCTCCTGGGGATTGAGTTGAAACTCAGGCATGTGCCCTCAACTGGAATCGAACCCGGGACCCTTCAGTCCATAGGCTGACGCTCTATCCACTGAGCCAAACCAGCTAGGGCAAGTCCTTATTTTTTATATTAGTCCTGTGCTCATTAACCCTCTCAGACAACTGCCTGCAAGTAGGTACTATTACCATCACCATCCCCGTTTCACTAGCAGCTCAGTGAGTGTTCAGTGCCACTCTGCCTTTCTTCTTGTTTGGCATCACATTTTCACATAGTCTGGGAAGTTAAACTACTTACTAATCTGAATATTACTTGGTATGCATGAGGTCAGAGATGAAAAGATAATTTGTTGTGGTATTTGTTGTGATAATTTGTTGAGGTAAGCCAAAATAGGACTTCTGATTGGATTTATTTCTATCTGATTTGATATCTTATTTTCTTGGAGAGTATTAGGGAAAGCCAGTCAAACCTCTGACTCCCTTTACTAGCTTTTTAAATTATAACTATCAACTATTCCTGACTTAGTTTTGTTGTTGTTAATCCTCACCTGAGGATATTTTTTCCATTGATTTTTAGAAGGAGAGAGAAGGAAGGAGAGAAACATCGATATGTCCCACATCGATTGGTTGCCTCCCACATGTGCCTTGACTGGGGCTGGGAATCAAACCTATAATCCAGTAGGTGCCTTTGACTGGGAATTGAACCCAAGACCCTTAAGTATATGGCTGATGCTCTAACCTTTGAGCACACCTGCCAGGGCATTTCTGACTTAGTTTGATTACTTTGTGTGTTCCCCAATATTTGGCTTTTAGAATGGGCTTGATGGATAGCTCATCCTCACCTAACACTTTCTTTTTTCTTACGGATAATTTCTGTTGTGATAAACTATAAATTTAAGAAACTGTTTAAGAGAAAAAGAACAGTCACCTACAGCCTGTTTTTTTCTTCCAGTTTTTTCCCCCTCATGCACATGAGATTTAATGAGTTCAAAGTGGTATAATTTTGCATCCTGCCTTTCCATGTAATATATTGCAAGCAGATTTTTTCTAAAATGTGATGGTATTACACATCAGATATAAGGATCCACGTCTGTGATTTTTCCACATTCATCCATTGCAAAGATTGTGCTCCTATGAGGCAGATTGGGCATTATAGGCTGTTGAGATCTAAAGTTTAGTGGGAGAGCTTCTATCTTTCTCTTTCCCACTCTCTCTAAAAATCAATGGAAAAATATCCTTAGGTGAGGATTTAAAAAAAAAAAAAGTTTAGTGGGAGAGAATTTAGTTAGGGGTAGCTTGCTTTATGGAGGTGGCTTGCTCAAATGTCCTGAGAGCTCAAGAGTGGCTCCATCTCCATCAAAACTACCACTAGTGATAGATTTTACTCCTAGAAAATGATCACCAATCCCAGTACCAAAAAGAATTACTTAGGAAAATATAAATTGTCAGAATGGACATAAGAAGTAGAAAACATAAATAGATCAAAGAAAGTATAGAGATCTTTCTTGTCCAGTCTTCCAAAAGGGCCAGAAATCAGTGGATCAGCTTTTGTTTGCTTCATTTGTAGCTCTTAACATTCATAGCAGTCACAGTTTGCAGTTTTCATTCATCTGTGTTTTCAAAAAATATATTTTTGTTATTGATTTCAGAAACGAAGGGGAGGAAGAGAGAGAGAAACATCGATGATGAGAAGAATCATTAAAAATATATAATGATGTGAGAGAATCATTGATTGGCTGTCTCCTGCATGCCCTCTACCTGGGATTGAACCTGAAACCAGAGCATGTACTCTGACCGGGAATCTCCTGGTTCATCGGTTGACACTCAACCACTGGGCTTCACTGGCCGGGTTCATTTATCTGTTTGCTGGCTACATTTTTGTCCTCCTTCAATGGATTGGAGGCTTCATGAGGGCAGGCACTCAGTCTCTTGGTCTTCACTGTTTTCCTAAATAGTCTCTCTGCAGATATTTGGTGACTATCAGCAAATGGTTAAATTTAACCCTGAGAGTTGCTTTCTTGGAGTTCTGAGAGATGCCCTTTTATATATAAGTCCTTTCTCTTCACAGTTCCAGAGATTACAAGGTGCTGCATAAAGGAGGAGGAACCAGTGGAGGGCATACCTGTGTTAGGATGAGGGCAGGAGTGAAAGAGGGGGCAGACAGGGTTTACTGGAGCTTTGTGTTTTGAATAATGCCTGTTTGTTCTTTATGTGTAGTGAGTGATACTACACTCTGGGCATACTTTGCCTGAGTTTCATAAATATTTAATTGGCTTTTTCAGGAGAATAAAGGCAGCCCCGTTGATGACTGAAAATGACAAAGCATCCACCTAACAGACGAGGAATCAGCTTTGAAGTGGGAGCCCAGTTGGAAGCCCGGGACCGATTAAAAAACTGGTATTTTTACATTTTTTCATTAATTAAATCCCTTCAGTAAAGGACTTTTGCCAGCACTGATAACGAGGGGTAGCCTGGGCTTTTCTGTAGTGTTTTCCTGCTCCCTGACTCTTGGAAGGTGGAAGGAGACAAGTCTAGAGCGATGGGAATGTCCTTTCTCTTTGGTTCAGGGACCCCTGTGTTAGGGGAACCATTCTGTTACCTCTTGTTTTTTTCTTTTTTAAAATTTAATTTCTTCTATTTATTTATTGATTTGAGAGAGAGAGGGAAACATTGATTTGTTCCACTTATTTATGCATTCATTGGTTGACTCTTGTATGTTCCTGGTCATGACCTGGAGTTGAACCCGAAACCTTGGGGTATTGGGACGGCGCTCTAACCAACTAAGCTACCCAGTCAGGGCCATGACCTCTTGTTTATACTTGTTTACCCTTTCTGCCTCTTCATCTGAAAAGAGTTATGAGAAAAAGAAGCATGAGTGGCTATAGGGAAGGGAAGAGTTAATAGTGGCAGCTCTTTTGCTCCTGGCTGCCTGTCTGGAAGAGGAGAAGAGAGAAAGGTCAGGAATGGAAGAGTGAAGAAAAGGGGTTAGATTAGAACAGGTCTTGTGTTGTGAACAACCCCCTGCTGTTTTCTGGGTGTGTTGTATGGTTGAAATTTAATTGTCATAATTTAGGGGTGATTAGATTCAGAAGCTGAGGGGTTGTATTCTTTGTCATTGACATCTGACCTCTGGCTGGTAATTAGCTGCTTTGAGCATCAGCTTCATCTATAATTGTGAGTAATAGTTGTATTGACCTCACAGAATTTTGTCTGGGAATGAAATTATGGGATATGTAGGGAAAGGTCTTATAAAGTATAAAATGACAATGGTTGTTGAGGACATTCTACAATTTCCTAGAATGTGAAGGTAGGGATTTCAGAACTCAAACCTTTCTGAGTTAAAAAAAATTTTTTTTAAAGGAAAATTTGCTCTTTTTCCCCTCTGCTGATTAAAAAAATAGCATTTTTATTGATTTTAGAGAGAGAGGAAGGGTGAGGGAGAGCGAGATGAGGACATCGATGAGAGAGAAACATCATTTGGCTGCCTCCTACATGCCCCTGATTTGGGAATTGAACCTGCAACCTGTTGGTGCATGGGTCAGCACCCAACCACTGAGTCACACTGGCTGGACCCTTTCTGAGTTTTTATAAGAAAGAGTGTAGGCTTCCCCCCACGCCTTTTTTAAAAAAAATATTCTTATTGATTTCAGAGAGGAAGGGAAAGGGAGAGAGAGAGAGAGAAACATCAGTGATGAGAGAGAATCATTGATCAGCTGCCTCCAGCGTGCCCCCCAGTGGGGATTGAGCTGGCAACCTGGGCATGTACCCTGTCCAGGAATTGAACCATGACCTCCTGGTTAATAGATTGACGCTCAACCACTGAGACACTGATGCCAGGCTGTAATTTATATTTTTGCCTTTCTTTTATATTGAAAATCTTTGTTCCTAATCACACTAACATATTGACCTGTTTGACTTATTCTGTGTTGTACACAAAATAATTTCAAAGTTAAATACCAATATTACTACTAACAAATCTGCATGAGGTTGAAGATTTTCTTGGCATTTAAAAAAATATAGATACACCTAAGGATAAATTATATTTAATTTGTAACAAATTTCTATATTTAATTTATAAGTTAAATAGTATTTCAAGGTAAATAATGTGAATTTCTTTTTAAAACTCTTACAGAATAATTTTATTTCTACTTTTTTTTAACATATATTTTTATTGATTTCAGACAGAAGGGAGAGGGAGAGAGAGATAGAAACATCAGTGATGAGAGAATCATCCATCCGCTGCCTCCTGCACACCCCACACTGGGGATTGAGCTGCAACCCGGGCATGAGCCCCGTTCAGAAATCTAACCCATGACCTCCTGGTTCATAGGTCAACGCTCGACCACTAGCCATGCCCTCCAGGCTCTACTTTTTTTTTCTTTTTTTAAAACAGATTTCTGCATTCATTATGGGGCACAAAATCTACATATTTTTAAAATATGTTTTTGTAGGTTTTAGAAAGAGAGAGGAGTGGAGAGGGAGAGAGAGACATTGATGGGCTGCCTCCTGGAACACCCCACTGGGGATGAAGGCCCAAACCCTGGTATGTGCCCTGATTGGAAGTCTGCGGACCTCTGAGTGCATGGAATGACACTCAACCAACTGAGCCACACTGGCCAAGGCTACCTTTAACATCATTTTTAATATACATATAATAATATTCCCCCCTTTTTTTTGATGTACATACCTATGAGTTTTAACACATATATAGATTCTTGTAAACATCAACACTAACAGGAGACAGAACACTTCAAAGAATTATCTCATGCTATACCTTTTCCAGTTTATAAATTATTTTGATTTGATTGTTTTTTGTACTTGTTTATCTGTCTTCCCCACAAGAATGCAGGCTTAGTGAGTGCTAGTGTGTTAGATTGGATTCTCCCAAGAAGCTATGCAATTGATTTATTTGGAAATCACCTGGCAAATGGGGAGTGAGGTGAAGAGGCTGGGAGAGCTATCAGATTGCCTTGCTTAGTCTGACCCCTGTGGAGGAGAGAGAAGGAAGGTGGGAAGTTTTAGACTGCAATGCAATTCTCAGAAAATTTTGGCGAAGGAGATGAGGACCTCGAGTCCACAAGCTGAAATGCAAAAATTGAACTGGAATGCGTGATGATCCCTGGGTCCTTGTCTAGTGGAGTCGAGAATGAAACCATGGACAAAAGGTGATATAATGAAAGATGGAAATTTATTGAGAAATAAGCACAGACTCCCACATGGGGACGGGGAGAGAGTCCCACTAAGTCCCTTTTTTGCAGGGTTTATAAAGGCTGCAGTTCTTTTAGCCCTGACATCCCTCCCATCTCTGATTGGTCACTATTCCCTCTGATTTGGTCACTATAGCAACTTCAGAGCTCAAACCTCACAGCGAGGTATGTGAGGTTCTCTTCTCCCTTGTTTTTCTATTCCCTTTGGGCTTTCCTCTTCCCTCTCTGAATGAGGGGCTTCCTTCCCTTTATTCTGTAAACGTATACCTTCTGCAGCGCTCAGCTCCCTTATTTTATGGAAATGTACCTTCTGCAACTCTGTAGCCCTGTGCTTTTTCTATGGACTCCTCAATTCCTAAAACCTGCCTATTTTACCCCTAAAAACTCCTTTCAAACCCAAAGATGTCAAGAGTCTTGTCTCCCAAAAAGTCTTGTCTTAGTATTTCTACTTAACCATTGGCTAGGAGAAGTGTGGAGAAATCACAGAGATGGTGATTAGTTTAGAGGTGTTGCAGCTGCAATCAGGTACTAACCACTTGATAAGGATGTGATGGGTGTATTTTTTTCTCCTCTAATTTTTATTTAGATACTGCTATTTATAAATCACTGTTATACGTCCAAGGAATCATATAGAAAGTGTATATAATAATTTCTGTACTTAAAGAATTCCTAATTCTAATATAAAGGAAGAAATCTGTTCAAACAAATCAATACCAACAACAACAAAAGCTGCCTAATGAACATTCAAACAGAAAATATCTTTATGGAACAGGGAACCTCCTGGGCTTGGAAGATTTCTTTTCGGGTCCATAATTCATAGGTACTTATTTAATACCTACTAGTAGCCCTGTGCAAGAATCCGTGAGCCAGTAGTGCGCCAGTAGCTCGCTGCTGCCCTCTTGTGGCTCCCCCCACCCCTCTTCACACCCACCCCCTCCTCATAGCTTGCTGCCCTGCCCCCTCATGTAGCTCTCCACCACCTGCTTGTAGCCAGTAGCTCCTGCCCCACCCTCCTGCTGATCCATGATTCATTACAAGGTAGATCCGATCGTTATGCTTCACAGTGTAATGACCATTTGCATATTACATCTTTATTGTATAGGATTATATGCCAGGTTGTGTGCAGACTTCAAGCTCTTCCCACTTTCCGAATGGTACCTTCTTGGGAATGGGGTCATCAGAGCCTTGGAGAGGCTGCATTCATCTAATGAAGGGAGATGAAAATAACTTCACACTCCGTTATGAAGAGGCTGCTCCAGATATTTATACATTGAGCAGGGATGAAGTAGCATATAGGGCAGCCGTGGGCAAACTAAAAAAAATGAATAAAACTAAAAAAAAAAAAAAAAAAAAAAAAAAAAAAAAAGAAAGACCGTACCCTTTTATGTAATGACTAGAGGCCTGGTGCACAAAAATTTGTGCACTGGGGGGGTGGGGAGAGGGGGTCCCTCAGCCTGGCCTGTGCCCTCTCACAGTCTGGGACCCCTCGGGAGATAACGACCTGCTGGCTTAGGCCTGCTCCCTGGTGGCAGAGAGCAGGCCCAATCCCTAGGTGCAGCCCCTGGTCGGGCTCAGAGCAGGGCCGATTGGGGAGTTGGGGCGCCGCCCCCTGTCATGCACAGAGCAGGGCGGATCTGGAGGTTGCAATGCCACCCCTAGTCACGCTCAGGGTACGGCCGATTGGGGGGTTGGGGCACCGCCCCCTGTCACACTCAAGGCAGGGTCGATAGGGAAGTTGCGGCGCCACCCCCTGTCACGCACAGAGCAGGGCGGATCAGGGGGTTGGGGCGCTGCCCCCTGTCATGCACAGAGCAGGGCCCATCAGGTGGGTTGGGGCTCCGTACCCTGTCACACACAGAGCAGGGTCGATCAGGGGGTTGGGAAGCTCCCCCTGTCACGCACAGAGCAGGGCTGATCAGGGGGTTGAGGAGCTCCCCCCTGTCACGCACAGAGTAGGGCCAATAGGGGAATTGGGGCACCGCCCCCTGTCACACACAGAGCAGGGCGGATCAGGGGGTTGGGGCGCTGCCCCTGTCATGCACAGAGCAGGGCCCATCGGGGGGTTGGGGCTCCGTACCCTGTCACACACCGAGCAGGGCTGATCAGCGGGTTGAGGAGCTCCCCACTGTCACTGACAGAGCAGGGCCCATCAGGGGGTTGGGGCACCGCCCCCCATCACACACAGAGCAG